GAGAACAAGAAGAAGGAAGACGACGACAAAGGCGAGGATTGAGGAGGATGGCGCATTCCAGGCCGGTTATTTAAGGTGTAATCTGCCTCTCCCTCGGTCTCCTGGGAAGGTTTCACAATGGTGGGAGCTTTCAGATGCCAGCAAGATTGATAGATTGATAAGAATAGAACAATAGTATGGTATAGTCAGACGTAGAGTACGGATGGGAAGGTGTAGTTTCTAGGCGGCAAGTAGTTGTGGTGAACGGAGGAGGGCGCAAGAGTGAGGCTGATGAGTGGGCCACCGGAGAGGAAGGGGATGCGACGATGAAGTGGATGAAGTCGCCTCCTTTTATGTTAATTATCTGGGTAAGTGAGCACAAGTCGCCGTTCTTCCAAGTTGCTTGATCCACTGCTAGTCTGGGATGTCTGGGATGTCTGGGATGTCTGGGATGTTTGTGGGGGATGGGGAGAAGTTTATGGTCCACAAGATTTCCCGTGCTGGAGAGGAATTACTGGCTGTAACGTAAGGTACTGGCTGGACTGGCTCTCTTTGGCCGGTTTAGTCTACCAAATGGCCGCTGATTTGCCTCAGGCTCAGCGCTCCTGGAGAGCTGGAGTGCAACCACTCTTTCCGTCCCCAGTTCGGTGTTCCCATGATGTCATACACTCAGTGAAGCTAATGACCGTACGGAGTACAGAGTACGGAGTACGACCAGAGGTGATAGTGGGGGTTCTTTGTATTGATGCCTCAGGCTTCAAATATTGAACGGTGGAGTACTGTACAGTACTCTTGTACAGTACGTACTAGGTATGTCAAGTCAGAGCTCCATCCAACCTCCCAAGTCCCATATTGGAAAAATCATAATAAATGGAGAGGTGGCCATCCATCATCGTGGCGTTTCCTTCCTGGAATATCAGAAAAGCACTTCCTTGAACCAGATTCAGTAGCTCTGAATCCATCGCTGCCACCACCATAGATTCAGCTACTGCTGCCTCAAGGGGAGGGGCTATTCATAGAGCATCGCTCGCCTGATCTGACATGTCCTTTCAATTCCACTTTCCACTTTCCAACAGCCATCTTATTAGAGTAAGTCTAAAATTGGTCATTCACCCCCTTTTCCCGCTCCTCCTGCAGCCGCTCCTCCGTCAGTTCCCACCACCAGGCGTGCGAAGCATCTCGACTGGAGCGCGGCACTAGGCTTTTCCGAATCTCCTCGGGCTCATCCCAAGGCTTAGGGCTGAGGATGTAATGCACATTCTTGACCCGATCATCCCTCCAGATGGCGTCGTGCACCCCCTCCCATCGTAGGGTCTTCAACGCATTATACACATATGGAAGGGCCACCCACCGGCCATGGAACACGTCTGAGAGGAGAGATTGATCTGCAAATTCATAGTTCGATGTGACCGACGAAGCCAATTGAGCAACGATCTTATCATAGATGGCTGGGGACGGGTTGACCACCTGTAAGCCACCATTGGGCATCCCCAGACCGGCTGTGGGCGGTGCCCCCTCGATCTGGGCGGCTTCCGGGTTCGAGTGCTGGGAAGTGAAAGCGCAGTTGGATGGGATCCTTGTCTCGTCAGTTCTTCATGTATCTCAATGGCACAGCATGGTCGCATACCAATCCTGCGGGTAGTGGGATTTTTGAAGCGGATTGCAAACGCAGGCATGGCTGGCAGCGAAAACTCGTGGTCCAGTTCCTGCCAGAGCCGGGGGGTCCAATTCAAGATCCATCAGCTCATCCATGTTCTGGCGGACCAGCATGTCACTGTCGAGCTGGACCACCCGCTCATACTCGACGAGCGAGAAGGGCGTAAGCTTGCTCCAGCAATCGTAAAAGCGCACGTCGTTGACATAATCCTTGGGGACTGAGGGCAGCAAATAGGGGACCCGTTGCTTCAGAACGCCGCGGGCATCGAGGGCGGCATGGCCCTCATCCGGAAAGGAGTCTGTGTAGAGCACGACTAGGGGATACTTGGAGCCCACTTTGCGTAGCGAATACTCCAAGGTGAGCAGTCCTGGAAGATATGCCGTATTCGTAATGAGAGTGGTCCACACTGAAGGGGGGGAAGGGAAATGGGATTAGCTATCATTCCCAAGTCTACTAGAAAAAACCAAGTGGTAGTGAGGGTTGCTTGGGTGGGAATGAAAAGTACCTTTAGTGGCATCAGTTATGCGGGGAAGGTCACTGGTGGTGGTGGTCATGGCTGATTCTCTTCTCCGCGTTTCACAGGTGGGACTGGCAACGACTGGCAACGATTGAAGGTGCTGTGCTGGTTCGAAGAACGAGAGAATACGAAGCCGCAGGAATCAAGGGTAAAGAGTGGAAGAGGGTTTAAGGGAGAAGAGGGAGAAAGGAAGAAGAGGAAGAAGAAGAAGAAGAAGAAGAAGAAGAAGAGAAAGAAGAAGTGATAAGGGAAGGACAAGGCAACCGATGAAAGGCGCAATCGGCGTCTGCTTCTTCTAAGTTCTAACGTTTATCGGAATCTGATTTGATTAATATTATTATTATTGTACTGTATGTATTATTGATCGATCACCTTTTGGGGTCATGCAGTCAATCCTTTCTAACCGGGTTGGTGTTAGTGAACCATTGTTGACTGGCCCTCAAGTATCCATCATTTCTTGTCTGGCGTCCAGAGTAGAACATCCTCTTCTACATTGACACATTTTTTGTGCTCATCCGATCGACATGTAGTAGAGTAGAGTAGAGTGTGAGATAGTTAGTGTATGGTCAATGAACCGAACTTCATAATGATTGATCAACAAATCAACAAGATTGGAATTTCTACAGTAACCCTTCCGAGGCGGTCAGGGTAGCTACAGTAAGTAACGTTAACTGTCAGTACACTCGGCTGTCAGTAACTTACTATTATTTGTCACTATCCAACTATAGTTCTTCTCTACACTTAACAACTTCTCCCCCTTCATTCCCTCCTCTGCCCCTCTCTCAGATTTGACCATCATCTGCTTCATCCCCCCCTTCCCCCCCCCCTCAACCCAATTTTCCGCTTCTACTTCCTGCTTTCCCACGGACTTCCGTGTCACAGGGTGGATTTCCTGTAGAAATTGCCCATGACGGAGCCTGACCACGAGGCGCAGCCTCTAATACAGGATGGGCGGATTGAGGCAGGCTTGGAGTCCTCAAGTCTTCCAATGGCTCAAGACCGACCTGAGCTGTTGGAAGCACCTCGAAGCAGTTGGTATCTCTTTGTCCTGACTTTGGGCATGTCAGGGTGAGTCGGGGTAAACTGTTGAGTCTACTATCGACTAGAGGGGCTAATTGGTTCGTTTGTCGCATATTCAGTCTGCAGATTGTCTGGTCAGTTCAACACTCCAGTGGATCGGTAAGGGGCAATTCAGCCTTCAACAATGGTTACTTCGTTGCACATACCCCCATGACTAATTCACATATAAGCCCTATCTTCTTTCTCTGGGAATGAGCAAGGCCATGCTCGCTTTTGTCTGGATTGCAGGGCCTTTGACCGGTATCATTGTGCAGCCATACATCGGCGCACGAAGCGATAATTGTCGCATTGCCTGGGGCAAACGGAAACCGTTCATGGCCCTGGGTGGAGTAGTCCTTGTCTTCTGTCTGCTGACTCTGGCCTGGGTACGGGAAATTGTTGGTGGTACGCTCAGTCTGTTCGGCGTCGATGCGCAATCAGATGGAGTGCGAACGACAGTTCTTGTTGTTGCAACACTGCTGATGTACTGTCAAGACTTTGCCATCAACACCAGTAAGCCAAACCCCACCGCCGTTTCCTGGCGCCTCAACTGACAAGCACACAGTTCAGGCGGCAACCCGAGCTTTCATTGTAGACAACGCGCCTGCTCATCAACAGGAGTCCGCCAATGCCTGGGCAAGTCGTCACAACGGCGCTGGAAACATCCTCGGCTATGTTCTGGGCGGCATGGATCTCCCCAAAACGTTTCCAGCCCTAGGGAATACCCAATTCAAAGGCCTTTCGGTCATCGCCAGCGTCTTTCTGGCAGTCACCCTGTCTCTTAGCTGTGCCTATATACAGGAAAGGGACCCGCGCCTCGAGCCCTTGACATCGACCAGGGCGGGCCTTCCGTCCTTGTTCCGCTCCATCATAGACTCGGTCCACGGCCTCTCAAGCCGAATCCGACGGATCTACCTGATTCAGGTCCCGGCGTGGTTCGCATGGTTCTCCTTCCTCTTCTACGCAACCACCTATATCGGCCAACTTTACGTCAACCCGATCCTCGACCAACACCCCGACCTCCCCGAAGAAGATGTGAATAAGATCTGGGAAGACGCAACCCGCATCGCGACGCTCGCGCTCCTCGTCAACGCCATCGTCTCTTTCGCAGCCAGCATCATCCTGCCTCATCTGGTCGTCCCCTCGGGGCAGACATCTCTCTCATCCCACCATCAGCAGCCACCCTATCCTCCTAGCTCTCACAGCAGGAGCTGGAGCCGTCTACATTCGCGGTTCCTCCACATCCCCACCATCCGCGGCCTTACCCTCCGCCGCGCCTGGCTTCTGTCCCACTTTCTCTTCGCCCTCTGCATGTTCAGTACCTTCCTCATCTCCACCCCGGCCCAAGCATCCATCATGACCGGCATCATCGGGATCTCCTGGGCCATCACCTCCTGGGCCCCCTGGGCCCTCCTGGCCACGGAGATCGCGCGTCGCCAGCACGACGACAAAGCACACGGTAGTCGCCATCCGGCAGCGCGCAGGACCGATCCAGAGTCAAGGGCCGCGACAGCCCAGCGACCAGTTACATCCAGAAAGAGACCCGCTCCCAACCAAGCAGGCATTACCCTCGGCCTCCACAACGTCGCAATCTCCTTCCCGCAGATCATCTCCAGCGCCGTCAGCAGCCTGATCTTCCGCGCGTTACAGAAACCCCGCGCCGAGCCGTGGGATGCCTCCACCGGATGGGTCATGAGACTCGGAGGGTGTGCCACTGTTCTAGCCGGCTTACTGACCGTTGGACTCATGGAGAGCAAGGAAATTCTATAATGATTATTTTGGCTGGCTCGCTTGCGGAGACAAGAAAGCGTGAGACTGAAATAATATAAACTCCCAACAATAGGATGGTACAGGATCAGTCCAACCACTAGAATCGTATTTCATATAGTGACATGCAAACCATTAAGCTTAGCCGAGGATAGACTCGAGGAAAGAAAAGGCAAAAGTAGAAAAGAAACCGCTATGCTTCGTCGCTCGTTGCATTTCAACGCACATGTTTACACAACTTTAACGATACAGAACTATGGGATGGTATATGTGATCGGTAAGCTGGAAGTTAGCGGTCTTCAATGACTCGCCTTGCGACTCTCGTAGTGACCGCGTAGGTCATCCACCTCCTTCTGTAATCGGGTGAGATCCGCCAAAATGTCGTTGGCGTTCGACGGATACGGAATATAGTCATCTTTCGCAGCGGCGACCGGTGGCTTACTTGACCGGAGGCTGAGGCGCACACTGTCTGGACTGTGGTTGCCGGATCCGCGCGAGCGCCGCGGTGGCGGAGGCGGGGGGTTCTGGAGCGAGGCGCGCTTGATTGAGGGACTGGGCGAGGCCGCCCGCCCAGGCTCCCTGGGGGTCCACGGGGTGGGGGAATCAATCTGTAGTGAAAGGCGGTTTGAGGAGGACGAGGACGGCACCGACTCCTCGGATGGCGTGCTGGCCAGGCGGGGATCTCGTGTCCGGGTGGGGTGCAAGGACCACGAGCTCGGACTCGGGGGCGGGATGGCCACAGAAGCAGCAGCAGCTGTAGCGTCTGCTTCTGGCGGTATGGAGAGTCGTACCGGGTTCACTTTAGCGGAAGTGGTTTTTGACCGCCGCATCTGACTATGTCGGCGGCTCAATGGAGGGGTCGGAGGCCGCTTGGATTGCGACTGGCTCCGACGAAGCACGTCGACCGGGGCTGACTGGGTGGAACAGCTCGTTTCCACGCCAGAGAAGTAGTCCGTCGCCGGTTGGGCTGGACGGGGTGAGTACGATGGTTCTGAGGGTGTACCACGGAGGGAGAATCGGCTGGAGGATTGACCGGGAGTGGATTGGGAGTGAGAAGATGTGGCGCCCGGACTAGGATTGATGAGCCGTCCATGGTGACTCTTGGGCGGCGGAGGGGGGGGCATTCTGTCACGATTTACGGCACGGCTGGCAAGCGGACGAGGACGAGAATCGGTTGAGGAAGGCGTTCCCAGCTCTACCCGGCCTGCTGACCGCAGGGATGGTTGAGAGACATCGGGGGTACTGCCGTCAGAAGTACGGGTGTATTCGGTCGAGGCAAGGGACACAGAAGAGCCGGTTCGTCCCATTGGGTGGGCATTCTCTTGCCATGATGCCACAGGCCGACGTTGCGTGTGATAGTTCTTGGTCCTGATTGTCTGCGAAACCGCAGCGGTTGGCTGCACTGCCGGTGACCTTGCCGATACCGAAGGGTGTGAGTCTACAGCATCGACGATTGACCCGTCAGTATCTTGGTCGTCGTCATGGTGATCATTTTCCTGGTCACTGGCGAAAGAAGGTTGATGGAACGGATCTGTATCGGATTGATCATCGGACGAAGCGGAGTCGACGAGTTCGGGCGGATGCGTGGAGGTTGAGAAGCTGGGGAAGCTATTCGACCCCGGAAACGGTGAAGGTTCAGGCACGGAGACGCGAGATTCTGGACTGTAGGGGATTGAGACTGTCTTGGATTGAGAGGGGAAAGTAGTATCTAAGATGCCGTTGAGTCAGTAACAACAACAATCACTCGAACAGTCAAAAGTCAATGGATGGAAGATGTGCCTCGCCCAGGCTGCGATGAATGAATGCATGAAAGCAATCCGGAACCGTCGGAAGAGACTCACTCGCGGGCTGGCTAGGGCGGAAAGGATTGGATCCAGACATCGCGAAGGAGGAAGTGGAGAGCAGCACTGACCATGAGAGAGGGGAGGAAAGGAAGGGAGAAAGTAAGAGCATAAAAGTCTAGGTCTAGAAGTTAGAAGTATAGAGATAGAGATAGATAGAGAGAGAGAGAGAGAGAGAGAGAGAGAGAGAGAGAGAGGTATTGAAGTGAGTGAGAGTGAGATGGGAAGTGGGAGTGGGGAGTGGGAGTGGGAGTGGGAAGAGCTGCTGAGCTGAGGGGGAGGATGTAGTAAGTAAGTTAGTAGTTGAAGTAAGGAAGAGAGAGAGAGACCCCCATTCATTATTCATTCATTCATTCATTCATTCATTCATCCCGGATTCCCCGCGCGGCTTCCACAAACCCATCCGCAGAGTAAACACACGCCTTAATGCAAGTATTGTTGTACTGTACCCTACTGTGCAGGAGGTCTATGAGTAGCTGTGCGCATTATACGAGCTCATAAACTGGGTTGTGTCTTCTTTATTGTAGGTAGGTTACCTAGTGGTGAGTGACTGTAACAACTGTAACTGTAACTGTGATGCTCATTCTACCCCTTCCCAAAGGACCGTTGAACCGGTTCCGACAACATCTGACAAATGAAAAAACAACAATGATGCCCATGGTTATGAGTCTGATAAAATCCAAAGGAGGTATATGTTACAATGAAGATAGTAAAGAGAAGGACAAAAGAAAAACAAAAACAAAAACATAAGCATGCAAAGACCAACCACAAAACCCAACATACCCCCACCCAATAGAACACCGTCAGTTGTACAGTACAGACACACAAAAGTAGTAGTTAATAAATGGTCATCATCACAGTATTGGCTTTCTTCAAGGTCAATGCCCGAGAAAGCAGGGTATCAACACGCCCGTGTATCAAGAAGACAAGTAAAGAAATAAAATAGAGAGGTAATTTGCATCCGGGTGGCAGGCTGCCGGCCCCAGAGGTCACGGCCGTTGTTCAATCGAGGATTCATTGCTCGTCATACACGTGCCACTCGTCGTTACCAAAGAAGGACTGCGCCAGACCTTTGCCACTCGCGGTCGGCTGGCTGAAGGCAATCTGTTCCTTGGGGATTTCCATGCCGTAGATGAAGTTGCTGACCACACAATCCAATAAATCCATGGCAATTCCCTTGCGACGCGAGGATTCCGAAGTCCAGATCCGAGAGATTCCCACGATAGCCGGGTGGTGTTCGTCGCGAACGGTGACCGAGGAGTCGGTGGTGCCTGGGGCCGGGGCGGAGGATTTCTGGATCGGTCGGGATTCCCAAATCCGCTCGGTCAAACAGGCCCCCACGCAGCGGCTATCCTTCATGTGTAAGAAGACCTTGTAGCGATCTATCTTCTCCGTCGTGCCATTTTTGCGTAGGTGAACCGGTGGCTCTGTCTGGCTCCATAGAACTTCGTCTTCGATGATGGGGGAAGAAAGTTCCTTGCAAATGACCTCGAGCACTTTCTTGGCCTGGTTCTTTGCCGTTGGGGATGCTTTGCGATCGACAATGACTACATATCCCTCGTCAAAGCGAGTGGCTTCATAAACCCAACGAGATGCGTTGGCGCGCATGAATGCCTTGCCCAGATCCACCCCTGTCGAGTTCATTTCGTGGAATTTTTTGTGCGTTGCTGCGTCCTCCGCATTTGAGGGCACATATTCCATACCGCAGGTCGCACAAGTTCGCCGCACCTCACAGCCAACATCGATCTGCATCTGCTTCAAAGCGCCCGGTTGTTGCAATTGCGGTGTCGCTGGGGTTGACGTGGTTGCCGTGGTTGCCGTGGTTGCCGTGGTTGCCGTCGTCGTCGTCGCGGCCGCGGCGGTCGTCTTCTTCTTTGGGGGATCCATCGAGGCACGCACACTATTGGAGTTGACCTCGGTTAAAGGCGTGCTGTTACCGGCAGCATCTTTGGTGGCAGTGTGCTTGCGTTTGAGAAAGGCAAAAGTCGGTTTTCGCGTATTGGCGGGCGGGGGGCTTAAACGTGGCGGGGGCGACGATGGAGGCGTCGACAGATCATCATCCTGAGTTCCTTCGGAGAGCACGACTGAGTTGCGACGTGATGGACTGGATAGCACGGCAGCGGATGATTCTCGGATGGCATATTGAATACTATTCTCCGCCTCATCCGAGTCGAAGCCGGATAACGCGACGCGTCTTTTTTTGGCGGCGGGTCCCTGGTCATCGTCATATACGCGCCACAGCGGACGCCCGTAAGTTTTCATCATGAGACCTCTTGAGGAGCGCGATCGCGTCAGTGAGGCAGACATTCCATTTTTCAAAGAAGGGGGAACTCACCGCTTGAATGAATTTGTCACAGTCCACGGCATCTCCCTGGATTAAGTCGAGCGACACACTCAAGCGAGGTAAATCATCTATGGCGTCTGTAAAGGAGGCAGGATCACTTGTGCTGGAGGGAGGGATGAGGCTAGAAATGGTAGGGGGGGGGGGGGGGGCAAGCTATAGGAAGAAAGGTAGAGGGAGGGAGGGAGGGGGGGGAAGATCTTTCAGATGAGAGTAAGGAGACGGTGAAGAATCGAGTATTTTGGAAAGGTGAGGGCAGTGATGAAGAGATTATGAATTTCAGTCAACGGCCAACAAAGTGAGAGTAGGGTAATGGAGAGAAGGGAAATAGGAATAATTATTTTTTGGAGGTTAAGTCAAGGGAGGTGGAAAGAGCAAGAGATAGTTAGATGATGGAAGAAGGCGGCGGCGGCGGCGATGATGATGATGGAAATACCTTATGGCAATAATAATAATTATTCGGTGATCGACGGGAACGCGTGAGGTCACTAGTCCCCATTCGGTCATATTACTTCTAGAAGAGAATAACGACCAGGAATAAATTAACGCCTTTCCTCATTCCATCCATTCATTCATTCAAGTTGATTCAATTGACTAAGTTACTTATTGATTTATTATTCATTCTCCATCAACCCACCAAGTACTCCGTACTACTCACTCAGTACTCGACAGCGAAAGATCCAGAAACAATTTATAATAAGCACTGCTTAGAATTTCCTCCAACATTGTATTGTATATCATAATCATCATCACCATAGTAGTTACTTTACACATGTACTCCCATACAATGATACTAGGTACAGTAGATGCTGTAAGTTAGATCCCATAACTCATCCCATTGGCATTCTCCCGGTGGCGTTGCTCAGGATGCGTCAAAAAGACGGTTTTTTCTCCCCTGATTCGACCCAATCAACCGCCAGCCTCTCCGACAGCAGGTGTTACAAGTGGAACAATAGGCCCCCGGGATCTGCCTTTTGTTCGCCTTACAACAGGCTGATGATTACCTTTCCTGAGTCTTCATAGGCAGGGCCAGCCAGCCAGCTTGCTGTTGCTGTTACTGTTGTTGTATCATCATCATCATCATCACCCATCACCCAGCATCATATTATTGTTATTCATATCGTCGTCGTCACCTCGCACCTCCTGTCTATCGGCAACAAACTACCTAGTACCGACTCAACACAGACCATCATCCCCTTGCCCCCCTTCCCCCCCCTCTCCCCCCTCCCCCCCCCTATTTACTCCCATGATACTGGATCCTAAGTGCGCACTATGAATAATTAGGTGTCACTACGTAGACAGGCAAAGAGTCAATCAGAGTCAACCAAACCCCGTAAGATGTGACTCGTCCTCGTCCCAACCAAGCTCCTGTGGGGTGACAGCTCCTTTCCCTTCTCAGCTCTCAATTCATCGAGCCAGTGTCTTCTTGCCCCAGGAATCCTATTTATGTTCTCTGGAATTCTTCTTGGAAAGAGTAGAATTCAGGAGGTACTATGTTAAACGACCAGCCCAGTGCATGCATGCCTAAGAGACCATCCGTTCGGCCTCTTCTCGCTTTTCCCGCCTCGCCCTTGCTGGCTACTTACCTTTCTTGATTATTCGGAGCGAGCTCGCGCACAGTCCATCCACCTGCGTTTGCCCGCAGAGATAGCTAGGTATGTGAACTGATCACATTCTTCTTTTGCGAGGGAACAAAACCTGCTGGGAAGGTAACCTCAGACCCCTTCGGATTCTGTTCACTTGATGCGGAGGCGACACACCTGCACCGCACACATGGAATTGCCCTGGAAGAACGGCATCAACAGCTGCAATCCAGAACCTATTCGGCAGTAGGAACGCTTCTCATTCATCCACGGCCTCCTCCCCAGCATTCCTCGCGGCTATGGGGTAGAGTCTGGCGGGTGCTCAGAGCTTGGACTGCTGAGCAGCATGATAAGAATCTCTACCCCGCCTGATCGACATGGTCTTCAGGCCAAAGGTCCGTCCGTAAAAGCAGATCGAGAGAGTAGATGGAGTCCGGGAGTCCGCAGCTGTGATGAACGGAAAACATGGAAGGATTCGACCGGAGCAGCTGCGACCGGGGTCCGGATGAGACCCCAATGGGAAATTGGGCGAGGTGCGACCGGGACTGGGAGGGAAGCCCTCGTCGGACATGAGCTATCTGCCTTGACAACAGTATCAACTCGATTTCCACTGGCTGCCATCCGAATTTTCTCGTGGGTTGCACCTCGAATCATGATCATGTTACGAGGTTGCTCCCGCTGCACCGGGGCATGGACCAGGGCAGCTGTCACAACCGGAGAATCCGGTAGAAGACTGGCGACTTTTCTCACGTCAGACCTGAAGGAAGCAATGGGCAAGTTCTACTTAACTAGTAGCTGTCAAGTCTAGCACTTACTATATAGTATATAGTAAGTCAACTAGCATAGAGTAAAGCACACGTAGTCACACATATTGGAATGTTGGTTCCTCCGTACAGTAAGCTGACAAGGAATTGACCATGGAATTGAATTGGTACCTGAGGCCATCCACTGCTATCGATAACATGCACTCCGTAGGTAGCACGCCATCCCGCCGACCGAGGATGGAGACAGTAGATAGAGCACTAACTTAGATACTGATGGATAACAATCTGCAGAAAACCACTTTTAAGGAGTATCGATTCGGAGCATTCGGGATTTAAGCAATTGATCAAGCAGCACATCAGCGGCCGAATGGCAAGCAAAAGCACAATTATCGGAGGGAGAATGTCTCCGATCATACCCATACTGACTATAGTACTCGGCTGGCAAGAGGGCTCCGGGGGGCCTGGACCGGCGCTTCCTGATTGGGGCGGAAACCCAAACTCTGCCTGTCTTAGTGACCTTTTTTTTTCTTCTTTCTTTCAACTCCTCCTGCTATTGCGTCTGCTACGACTGTTGCTGTTGCTGTTGCGGTTGTGATTGCGCTTTCGGTTTCTTCAAATATTACTTCTTCTTCTTCTTCTACCCCTCCTCCTCTTCCTCCTCTTTCACGGAATTTTTCTCGTCTCCTGTTATACCGTATAACGACTTCGCCTCCCCCCCCCCTCTCCCTTCTCCTCCTCCGCTCCCCGCTCATTTCCATACTACAGTTGTTCTATAAAATCAGAGGCGCTGTCGTTTGATTCTCGCCTTCTTGCTGCTCTCCCACCTATTTGACCGGTCACTTCTCTTGCGTGCCCCCGTCGTGCTGCCAGTTCGAAGGATTGTGGCTGCACTAAGATCAGCAGCCAGGAAATAATTCTACACCAGCTTTTAACTCGTTCGGGTCAGCTGTGCTTCGAAGACATCCATCCATCCGGCGCTCGTGTCCTTTAAAAACTCCGTTTGCGCTTTAAAATCCTCTCTCCATCTTGGGTTCTTTTCTTTTCCCCAGTCGGCTTATTTATACTTTCTGTCTTGCACCCCCGCCAGACAAACAGTCTCGCTTCGTCAAGAGTTACATTTTTTTTAAATTCTTCAACTTCGACTGTCATCATGTCGGACGCCTCTCTTCATAGCGCCGGCAAGAGAAAGCGCGCCAGTATGTATACCAATTTTCTCTTCCGAGGCTGAGGCTGGTTTTTAGATGATGGAAGGGTTCACACGCCCGCCGCCTTGGCCTTCTCTCTCCCACCTCATCTCTGTTTGCTTTTTCCCCCTCTTCCCCTCATTTTTTCGCGCCGACCGCCATCATTGTCAGCACCGTCCCTGTCAAGCACCGACGATCATCCGATCACTTTTATCAGCCTTCTTCGAATACCCTAATCGCTATCATTTTTGTTTTTTTCTGTCCTCTACCATCCTATCTCTCGATTGAATACTCGGGTCTTCGGTCTTTTCGCTTCTCTGTCCTCTCGCTACCGTCGCTTTATCTCCAGTATGGCCGCTAATCCGAATCAACTGCCAGGGACCCAGTCTTGCCCTCCGCCTGAATTGCCTCAGCTCGTCGCAGAGCAACATGTTCCGATTCCCGCTCATGATAAGGACACTCAGCGTCTGATCGTCGTCCTCTCCCATGCCAGCTTGGAAACCTACCGCGCTTCTAGCGGCCGCAATGGCTCGAGTCGCGACGAGAAGTATTCGCTCCTCAATAGCGATGAGCATATTGGTGTCATGCGCAAGATGAACCGGGATATCAGTGAGGCTCGTCCAGACATCACACATCAGGTTGCTACCCGCCCTTGTACCCTTCTCTCAAAACCGCAAAGCATCTAACGCATATGCCCCATTAGTGTCTGCTTACCCTGCTCGACTCCCCTGTGAACAAGGCTGGCAAGCTCCAAATCTTCATCCATACCGCCAAAGGGGTCTTGATCGAAGTCAACCCCTCTGTCCGCATTCCCCGTACCTTCAAGCGTTTTGCTGGCTTGATGGTGCAGCTTCTGCACCGTCTGTCCATCCGCTCCACCAACTCCCAGGAGAAGCTCCTTAAGGTCATCAAAAACCCCATCACCGATCACCTGCCGCCCAACTGCCGTAAAGTGACCCTGAGTTTCGAGGCTCCAGTCGTCCGGACCCGCGACTACATCGAGTCCCTCGGCCCCAAGGAGAGTGTCTGTATCTTTGTGGGTGCCATGGCCAAGGGTCACGATGACTTTGCCGATTCCTTCAAGGACGACACGATCAGTATCAGCAATTACAGTCTGAGTGCCAGTGTGGCCTGTAGCAAGTTCTGCCATGCCGCGGAGGAGGTGTGGGACATCGTCTGATCCCAACTGCTGGAATGACGCCTTCCTTTGTCCGAACATTGGCCCCAGATTGACGAGGTGACGAATTTCCTTGCGTGAATGTGGGGGGTAGATGCGGGGTTGGATTGCGAGCTGGAGGTTATCCGGGTGACGATCGGGGACGAAGACCTGCCGTTCCTTGCTGTGTCACTTTTGACCTGTGTGGATTTTGCATCGCCTACTAGCTCTTGCATGTCTTGGTGTCTTTGTTCCGTGTGCTTTTCGCTTCGCTGCCGTATCAGCTACACGCCCGATGGAGGCCGATGTGATAGTCGAACCCAACCCAATGATCCCACATGACTTGGACCTCTCTTGTAACGCTTTGCTTTTCTCTGGCAGCTTCCTGGTCGGCAGGCCGGCAATGGGAATCCTGCCGCAGACCCACGGCCACAACCGCTCTCCGCATGTTTCTGCACCGGGGATCCGCCGATTCGACTATCCCCTGCGAGACATTGTCTATACTTATCCTTGCCTCTCTCGCGCGCGCGCTCTCTCTCTCTCTCTCTCTCTCTCTCTCTCTCTCTCTCTCTCTCTGCGTGTGTGTGTGTACCCTACTTGTGAATGTGAGCCAAGCTGGTGATAACCCGGTGGCTCATGACTTCCCTGAGCCCAAGCCCTGTCCTGTATCCGTGGAATTCCGTCAGCGCACAATCCACGGACACCAATTGCCTACACACATATAGCGATTAAAAAAAATGAAACGAATATCTCAATGGTTTAGTTTGCAGTTTGCAGTTTAGATGACAGGAGATCCACGGACGAGTCAGGGCAGGGAAGGACTGGGTATTGGCTGAATCCCTTATTCAGTTCACGTAGGTTTGATATCGGCCCTTGACGTCCCGGCGATCCAGTGAGCTGTAGTCGGTCGATAGTAGAAGAGTGAGTGTAAAGGGAAATCCGCGGGCGTTAAAATGAGTCGGGATGAGGTCATTACTCGTGAAGGTAGTAAGAATCGTGTAGGAGAGGGAATAAAAGATGGTTCGAGACCCCTGCTCGGTGACGAAGGAAGGATCGAGGGAGGAAGGACGTGAATCAACTGGGAAGCTAGAATGAACGAAGAAAGAGTGATGAGGGCCTGGAAGGTAGATAGGATCAAGCTGGCTGCCAGAGGATGCCAGAGGATGCCAGAGGATACCTCAAGTATGGACAGTGGTGTTGGTAGTAGTAGTAGTAGTAGTAGTAGTAGTAGTAGTAGTAGTAGTAGTAGTAGTAGTGGTGGTGCTTTAGTGTAATGTACTGTTGTCTTGTACTGTACCTTCAGGCACTGAGCGGAGCCTGGAGCCTGCCAGTGACCCCGGCCCGCCGCGGTAAGCCACTCCTTCCCAATCAGGCAATCATGCTCCTGCTCCAGGCTCATAGTAGGTATGTATGTATAGACGGTCCACGGTACCAGGTAGGTACCAAGTTACTCCAAGCTGTAGGTATAGTAGTCAGTTAATCACAGTATTCATTCATACATACTAAGGTCTTTTCCACTCTCTCCGATCCTTCTCTCCTTATCCTGAACTACATCTCCATCCCCACACCACTCACTCACTCACTCACTCACTCACTCGGGTCACTCTTCCTTCCTTGATTTCTTTTTCTTCTTCCTTTTCTTTTTCTTTTCCATTCCGTGGTTGCCTCTCAATAATCATTGACAATCCTACTTGATTGGTGCGCTGGTGGCTGGAAAACGAAGTCGCCTGTTCGACGTGGCATGCAGACATGCCAGCAGCAAGTGGATCGCCCGCCTTTCCTCGCCATGGCCCCGCCATCTAGTCTAGGTACGGACTCCTGTACTGGGAGTCTGCGATGGAATACTCCCTACTCCTGAGCACTCGGACCATACCATAATCATCGAAAGGCTATGACATCCTGATGATCACCGACTGGCTTCCTTCCTTGTCGCCGCCAGCTGCCGGATATCGGCCCCCAGCATGGTTTGCCGACCTTGTGAGGTGTTCTTGATATGCACGTCAATGCTTTGACGATCACCCCTCCTCACACTCTCCGGTACGCTGAGCTTGTTCTTTGAGTACTCATCTACATGGGTCGCACTTTAGTCGGATGGAGTACCAATCCAGGCTTGCCATGAGATTAGGAAAATTGCCTCTTTGCCTCCCTCCCTTCCCCTGAGTCTTGCCCCCGACTTTCTATCTCCGACAGTCGCCTAGATCTATAATCTTCTTTGTTGCATGATTCGCCATGCATCGGCACCTAGTCCGCAGAAATTTCGAATCACGGGAAAATTCGATAAAGAGGGGCACTTTCTGGCGGTCAGATCACACCGTCCATTAATTAGTAGTTGCAGCAGCAGACGTGCCCGAAGCAGGAACCAACGAGACAAACCATCAATCCAGCAGGCTGCCCCTCAGTGGCTCCCCAGACTGGCTGTTTGCTGTCATGCCTGACCGTCATTCGTTGCTTGCTCGTTCTGAGTGACCCCCGGCGATTTAATTCTGAGATCAGGAGGCCCAATGCCAGGCCCTGACTGAGCGAAGAGCCCTCTCTGCAGCGTCTGAGTTCGGTTGCTGTTGGCTCTTCCTGCATGGCCGACACCCTTCATCGCGGTTTCAGCATCTCTCCCTTTTGGGACATGGCCATGCTCCACTCCTGCCAATCCCTATCGTCCACCTCGTTCAAGGACCCTCTCGCCTCACCCAACTTTCTTTTCTGACATGATGCCGTTGTTTGCACCTGGCTCCGACGCTTTCCCCACCGTTTCCTGATAGGCGCCCCGTCCGCCATGGGCAGGGCCACCTACCGCACCGTCCGCCGGCCTCCCCCACGGTGACCTGGCGGTCCCTCTGAGCAATTTCCCCTCATCGCTAGTTTCGATCTAGCTTCACCGAAAGAGTATCCGCCATGGACCTCTGGCGAGGGGCGAAGACCTACCGATAGGAGTCAGCGCTGTCCGGACGGGGACTTGATGCCTCGTGGACTCACTGGGCATCCATTATTGTCTGGACGCTATGCGAATGGATGCAGGCCAGCTTGCGGTAGTCGGCCTGATTCCCCTTGGTTGGAACAACTGGCTTTATTCGCACGATAATTTTATCTTGGTCTAGCAGTGACTTCTGAACGCTCGTGATTGGATCACAGTTGGGCATTCTGCGTGATTCCTCCCTGAATCCTAAAGGAGGGCCGACATTTTGCCTTGAAATAGTGCTGCTTCTCGCCTGGTCTTTTCGTTTCTCCTTCCCCCTCATGATCTCATCTACCTCAATCTCTCCCGGCTGCGTGTATATAATCCTTCTTCACGTCGCTTGACTAAACGTCAACGCTGCAGTCACCTCACCCAGGAATTCCTCTTACTGGGGAACCGGCACTCCATCGTTGTATATACTTGGGTCTCAACCCCCCCTTATTTCGCAACCTTTCCGGAGACTTACCAATCCCAACACTTGTACCCTTCGATGCTTACGGAGAATTACCTCCAGTGAGCCAGTAACCGCCATCATGCCTCTTTCACATCTTACCTTGACCGTTTCCCACCTTCCAACCTCCACTTCCTTCTTCCTTTCCTGCTTACAACCGCTCGGCTATCAATTTATTGGCCGCCATGATGACTACATTGGTTTCGGTCAGAAGCAAGGCGAGCCCGCTGATTTCTGGATAACCGAACAGAAGCCAGGGTAAGTTATTGGCTATTGCACCATGTGAAGCGTTGGGCGGCGACTAACGAAGCTCTACAGAGTTCCAGCCGGTGCAGCACATGTCGCCTTCCCAGCAACCTCCAAGGATGCAGTAGGAACTTTCTTCATTAGTGCGCTCAAGGCCGGTGGCAAGATCCACGGAGAGCCCAAAATGCGCGACTCAGAGTCCGGCTACTACAGCGCCGCGGTGATCGACTTTGACGGTAATAGCATTGAGGCTGTCTACCGACCCAGCAGTTCCTCGGCTAGGTCCGAGGTTAAGTCAGTAGTCAAGTCGGAGATCAGCCGGCCAGCTCTGGCCTTGTTGGAGAACGGATCTGTCGTCTCGAAGGCGAGCAGCAGAGCCAGCTCAGTCAAAACCGAAAGTATTGCCCCGCCTCGATCGGAAGCCCGGTCAGAGTCTCGGTCGTACGTGTCGAAGACAAATACTGCCATCGAGAGAGCGGTGCCTCTCGAGCGAGGCGCCCCGTCAATGGTGAGTCGGGATCATTACCAGCCGCCGCGCGATATTCAGCCAGCTCCGTCGCCGACCTACATTGTACACCACACGACACATACAACGCAGAAGACAGACAATGACAAGACGGCCAAGACGATTGTTGGCACTCTCATCGGAGCCGCAGCGGGTGCGGCCTTGGCTTATGCCATCGCCAAAGGCGACTCGACTGAGTCCACTGAAACCAACTCCGCGCCTTCCCAGTTTTCTCCTAGGGATATTGCTCAGCTCCTCTCCCCGTCCCAAGCCTCTTCTCAGACGCAAGAGTACCCCAACTTCAAGGCCATCGAGGCAGGCCCAGCCCGGAGTACTTACTCCGTTCGGTCTGATGGCCGGCCGATGCTCACTCGTAGCGTGACGTCGAAGAACCCGCGTGCAAGCACTATCTATGAAGGAACGGAGTTTGCTCCCCGCGGCAGCGGCGGCAGCGTGTATCTCGATGAGAACGGGCGCCGGGCCTCGGAAGGAAGCGTTTACAGTACCCGGGACATTCCCCTACGCGCAATCGAGTACGGGCAGCCGGACTCGCAATCTCGGGGCTATGAAAGCACTTTGATCAGCAGTTTTCCCGATAAGTCGCGGGCGATGGATCGGGAAAGCGTCTATTCGGCGTCGACCATGAAACCCTCCAAGGGCAATTATCAAGAATCCCACCATGGCTCTCATCGGTCATCTCACTCCCACCACTCTACACCTCGCACTCTCCCGCCAGGGAGCACAGCCTCATCCGTTCGCTCTGCACGGCAAGCCCCTATTCCGGAGGGCTCCTCCATCGGGTCCCTTGCTTCCTACCGTAGCGGGGCCAAATCGGGTGTCTCGGCCCGCGAAGTGCCTCTCCCAGAGAGTGTTATCGACCTTGATGTTCGGAGCAACGTGACTCCTGACGATTCGATCAGCCAAGTGGATGATTCTCGGCGCTCATCCTACTCCCACAAGTCCCATGCCTCGAAGGCCGCTGGGTCTCGCGTCTCGAAACACTCTAGCAAATTTGATGAGCCTGTCAAGCCGAGTGACAGTGTCAGCCAAGTCTCCAGCAATGTCTCCCAGCGGACTATGAAAGCGGGCGGTGGTGGTGGAAGCATCGCCCCTTCCAAGGCAGCGTCCAAAATGAGCAGTCGTCGGGGCAGTAGCCAGGTTGCGTAAACGCATCCAGCTCTTGGGCATCCATCTTTTACCTGTCATCTGTCTTTTGGACCACTGTCGTTCTTTCTCTTACGATAATTACCTTACTGCTTGAACCAGGCCCGGGTTTCTTTCCTCCCGCGCGTGGTCTGCGCCATACAATCCGGAGTCGACAGTGATTGATTTCCTTGCATCCCTCCAGACATGTACCTTAGCGATGTGAGGCCTGGTTCTATTTTGTTTGCTACATACATGGGACATATACACAACATACATACATCTGTTCGCATCATATCGGGGCGTTCTGATCTTTTCTGGTTGTGGTTTTTTTTTCTACGGGCATGGCGATAAAGGTATCATATGGCTTTAGCTTTCTTTTTAAATTCTCCTATATGTGAATGAATATAAGTGACGAGATGAATTATAGCTCTGATTTGACTGTTTGTCTTTGAGATCTCACCGCACGAAGGCTCTTAAGCCACGCCAGTCACGTGTTAGGGGAATTACAATCTGCCAGAGCAACTAGGGCATGGAGGGCACGCTACTGCTAGACGCCTATTACAAAGAAAGTCTCAAGTCACCAGTTTGGGATTAGCTTGGCTCCTGAATGCACTATCTGATACAAACCAAACCCACCACTAGCAACCTCATCATGTCGTCCATCGGCCTTCCATCACCCCCACCACTACTTCGACCGTCACGACCAACCTCGAACCATCCTTCCCACGTCCACCACCAACCACCCCCGACCCGAGGAAAACAGCCTGGGGTTTAATGTTCAACGTTGTAACATGGGATCCGACTCCATTCAGAGAAAATAAAAAAATGCCATGAATGCATAATGAGAATTGGTCATAATGATCGTTGAATATGACATTTCCCGCCAAGAGAAAGTGAAACAAGGGGTTTGAGGTAAAGGGGAATCAGACGCGCAAACTGAAAACAAGGAAAGGATCTACGATCACGGTACGCCAGGCTTCGGATCTGATCTAACGATTTGGAAAGAAGACGCAGAAGCGAGTGGGAAGACCAAGGTGGCCGTGGAAACTTGAATTGCGAAGATCAGATAGCGTATTTGCGAGTCCATTCACGCGCGGTCGCCTCGTACCGAGGACGGTCGGTCTTGTACACGTGAGCAATCTCGGGCACCAACGGATCGTCGGGGTTGGGGTCGGTGAGCATCGAGCAAATCGAGAGTAGCACTGCGGATGGAGTTAATGGGTGTGAAAGCCGATAGGGGGCGCAACGGGAAGGAACGAACCCTTGGAGATCGTGAGAGCAGGGCTCCATTGGTCTCTGAGAATGTCAAGACAGATGCTGCCGTTCGAGTTGATGTTGGGGTGGTAGATGCGGGTGGTGAAGTTGACCTTCGGGGGCTTAAATGGGTAGTCGGTGGGGAAGTGAATGTTCAAGAAGAAAACGCCTCCCGAGTATGGGGAGTCACCCTGGCAAAGGCTACGTTAGTACACATCCGGGACAACCATTAAAAGATGCCCGTTCAGTACGAGCGTAGGTCATCTCCGTCTCTCGAAAGGGGGCCAAGACAAGCCCGACCGTGTCGTACATCCAGGGATGGATTCTAGGAGACTCACAGGACCCATGATAGTTGCTTGCCAGTGGAACTAAGCGCGCAGAGAAAGAATTCAGTCAGCATGATTGTCCACCAGAAGATTGCGGAGGACAGAAAGGTAACATGAGCGGTCTGCGTTGTTGAGCAGCCCCGCCGCGGTCGGTATGAGGGGGGGGCGAAGCGACCGTGTTTGGACAAGAGGCACGCGGGAGGGGATGAGGGCATACCAGGTCATCTCCGGTAGGACCAGCAGAGCAGGAAGAGGGGGGATCACTATAATGCGAGAATAACACTACGTTAGCCTATGCTGCAGGGTAAAGTCATCACAGAATCTGGCGATTTTGTTGATGGATGAGGTGTGGTATATAGTAGGGCAGATGACTCGAAGAGCACCCCGCGGCTGTGGTGGGGTGTGAGGCGCCCGGGAGCCATCATCATGGCGCATCCGGATGAGGTGGATAGACCCAAGGAAAGAAGACGTTGAGAGAGCGCTTACCGGCCGAGGTCAGTGAGTTCCTTGTTAATACGCTTGAGAGCCATGCTGTGATCTGGGAAAGAGTGGAGGGAAAGACCCCTGAATGAAGTGTCGAAAGAGAGGGGAAGGGGAGGGAGGGGAGGAAGAGAAAGGCGGGTATCGAATTTGAAGGTGGGAAAACTGCTCAAGCACCAACACAGTCAGTAAAAGGAGACAGGGTCCACTGTCGAGGGGGAGGAGGAGGAGAAGAAGAGACGGTGAATATAAGAACAGAGAGTATATAGGGATTATAAAATCCAGTCAAATAAGGAAGAGGTAGGTAGGGAGTAGGCAAAGTTGGTGTTGGGAAAGAAGAAGAGGAGGGGCAGGAAAGAAGACTCACTCACAGAGACGGGTTTGATTACGTCGGGAAGACGAGGAAAGAGGGAAGAAGAAGAGGAAGAGAAAGAAAAGAGAGAGAGAGAGGAAAAAGAGGGAGGGGAAAGAAAGACTAGGCAAGGAAGGAAGGAAGAAGAAAAGGCGGGTGTGGCCCACTTTCCGTTACCGTACTGGGTATTGTCATTACCAACCCATTTCTCATCCTCACCTCAGCCGACCGCTGAGTCAGCCGCCAGCTTTTTGGTTCTTGCTGGCTAAGACCTGCATCAGCCACATACTCCCCTCATACTGTACTGTATTGTACTGGTACTGTCCAGACAGCACACCTCATCAGCCCATAACTTACTATGCAATCAATAACTACTTTTTGATAACTTCAATCTCAACATCCACATCCAATCCCATGAACAGTACCACCAAGGCAAGCTCGCAAGATAGATACCCCTCGATATGGGAAAGAAAAAGACTTAAGATGGCCTCAGGGCTGTGGGGGTCGAGTCATCGAAAGTGGGGAATCCCACTTCTCAAGGCTCATCGACCAAATCATGGTTATTTCCAGCCACGTTAATGAGGTTCTTCCCAATCCGGGTTTGGTTCTGAATTTCCTGCATCTTGCCACCTCTTTTTTTTTTTTTTTTTTTTTCTTGTTTGTTTCATTAATTGTTTCCGAATCATACTCGAGTACGGAGACTGTGCCGTATGTCATCCCGCATTCTACGGGGTACGCATTCATACATCATGTCCCATGTGAACTAAAATCAGGCACACATGAGAAGGTGAAATATTAATGCTGCTTAACTACAGTCAATAACATAAATTTACTGTACCGTAGACTCGAGTAGAACTACAGTACCTACTCGATACACCACTAAGCCCCCTTCCGCTGGATTCAGCAGCCTTACGGTCGAGAGCAGGCAACTGGGCTTCCCAGGTGATTACTCAGTACATAGTAGTCCTCATTCCCCCGCCACGTCGGTGTCGAACCCTTTGGGCTTGAATATTCCTCATGAGGGTTCGGGTTCACTTTGCCTTGCCTCGCCTCGCCTCCCTCGCTCGTCATCGAATGCGGCGAAGATGAAGTGTGGCTGTTCAGTGGTAGATTCAGCCTGTTCCATCGGAACAGTTACCAGTAATTTAACTCGGTTTTACATACAAGCACCAGCGCCAGCACAAACGGCAGTTTCCCGAACATCGGTTTTGCCAAGGTCCCACGTGGCGCAGTACATGGCACGTGTTTCAGGACGGCGCTTGCGGTTTCGAGAATCGTCCGAGAAGACTGACTACAACATGAATGTTTGGATCTTTGTTGAATTCGGTGCTCGGTTACGGAATCACTGGCTGCTTATGTACATATGTGGTATGATGTGGGCATGTGTGGTGGCGTGGACGAGCTGGCTTACTGTATGCCATCATCTGACCGGGAACATTGACTGTCATGCTTTTATACTGGAGATGCGACGGGGCTGCTTGCGCTAGACGAAGGCTTGAACGCCCGTGATGGCCCGTCCAAGTATCAGAGCTATGATGAGTTGTAAGTATTTTGAGTACTAAGGCGGGGAAAGAAGGGGAATCCGTACTATGAATGTCACTCTGTCCCTCGTAGGTTTGCACCACGAACAAGTTGGCAACGTGGCGGGCAATATGGTATTCATCGCTGGTCGCATTGCCGCCGAAGACCTCTTGGAGTCTGCAGTTCAGAAAATAGAGGGTCAGTTGTGTCTTCGAGGGTCAAAGAAAGTGTGGGTCCATACATCCGCGAGTTGGCCAAGGCACGATCACAGTTCTGTCGCTTAACCATCGAGATCATTTCAGGGGTGCATTTGCCAGCATCCTTCAACCGCGCTACTTGCGTCGCGGCCAGGGTACCGTAAGCCGCGTCCGTCGCCGCATCCGCCAGCTTCTTCTGGATCAGTTGGTACTTCGCCAACGGGTTGCCCTTGAACTGCTTCCTTTCCAGGGCATACGTCCGGGCCCGGTCCAAGCAGTCCTCAAGGGCACCCATGGCGCCAAACGCGATGCCCAACCGAGCACTGTTAAGACATGTGAAAGGACCCGCAAGGCCCTGTACCTCCGGGAGCATGTTCTCCGCAGGGACAGGACAGTCGTCCATCTGGATCATGCCCGTGATCGAGGCACGCAGAGCGGTCTTGTTCTTAATGGCGGGGGTTTCCAGCGTGCCAGGAGGGCATTGGCTGCGCTCGACGACAAACCCCCGGATTTTGCCCGTGGTCTGCAGCTTAGCCCAGACAACCATGATGTCCGAGATCGGGGAGTTGGTGATCCAGGTCTTGGTACCAGATAACAAGTAGTATCCCTTCTTAGTGGGATGCTCCCGTGCCACTGTTTCCATAGAGCCCGGGTCGGAGCCGTGGTTGGGTTCGGTGAGGCCAAAGCAGCCAGCCAACTTGCCCTTCGCCAGCTCGGGGAGGAGGCGATCCTTGAGCTCTTGCGTACCGAAGTCATGAATGGCCGTCATTGCCAGAGAGCTCTGCACCGACATCCCTGAGCGGTATCCCGAATCCACGCGCTCAACTTCCTTGGTGATCAATCCAGATGCCACGGTGCTGGCCCCTGCGCATCCGTACCCTTCGATGCTGGCGCCGAGAAGGCCGAGCTCGCCCATTTCCTCGAGAATCTTACGGTCGTAGTCTTCATTTCGGTAGGCATCTAATCGGAGCACCAAGGTCAGTCACAATCGCGTCCCATACAATGCTACCACTGACTAGGATCACCTACCGAGAACACGAGGCAGCAGACGTTCCTGGCAGTACTGCCGGGCGGTTTCTTGAATTGCCAACTCCTCCTCAGTATACAGTTCGGATGCAACCAGAGGGTCTTCCCAGTTAAAAGTCGCATATCTACGTTTGGAATTGGCGAGTGACGCGGCAGTGGCAGGTGCTGCATGTAGGCGGTTTGCCGCCCGGAGGTGGCGCGAGGCCGTGCGGAGAACGAACGGGTTCATCTTCGAGAAGAAATCCGAAGGGAGGAAAAGTGTGAAACTTGGAAGAGCAGTCTATACAAATGTTCTATCGCCCGGACACTCAATTGATCAGTTTAATTGTGATCGAAGAAGAGACGTGGGAATGCATCGACGTCACCAAGGGGTGAGGGGAAGGGAAAGGAGGAATCTCTCTTACTGAGCTGGAAGAAGCGTTCAAGGTTGCGGGGAGACGGCACTCAAAACACAGCCTCGGTAAATCCCGTCGGAAGACGTTGTTTGTACTGTACTAAGTACTCAAGGAGCACGGAAGAGCACAATTACCCGACAACCTGAATAGACTGGAAGAAGATAGAGAACGCCGAACTGGACAGGGGCCAATTCTCCTTGTTTTTAAAAGGTACTTTTCTTGTCCTTTCGAGGAAAAGTGGAAGATGGTTGAACCTCGAACCGATCGAGCCGCGGAGAAGTTGAAATGCAGCGAAGGGCGGAGACTTCGGCTTGCCTTCCGTCCCCGTCGGCACTTCCATCCAATCGATAAGATCGATAAGCTCTCCCTAGAACACTGATAGGGGAGACCTGCCTACAACCCTGAGTACATACAGTAAGTTACTGCCAGGTGCGAAATTTACCTGTGTTTATGAGTACCGTAGGTAGGTATGCAGCACCTCATAGATTACGTCTTTACGTCTTCTGCTACTAGGTATATAGATAGATTCTTACTTCAAATAGCACCCCATTCTCACATCCTGGTTACCCCCCCCCCCCGCACCAAAACAACACCAGACTCAACATAGTAACATATATTCGTCGTCATTGCATGCGTCCTGCGCAATTCGTCTCCTGTCGTTATCGTTATGCTCTATGTATATAACATCTTTAAGCAGGCATCTGAGACTGAAGAAAATCGAAGACTCCGGTTGGGAAATACTCCTCGTCAAACCCCCATAAATCAGCCATCATCGGATCGACCGAGCCCTCCCAAAGTCCAACCTCTTGCTTCTCATTACCGGGATTGGACTCGGAAGTACTTCCTCTCTCTGCTGAGAGTGGTGCTACCCCCACCAAGGCCGGTGTGTGGTTGAGGATCGATTCCCGCCCACCCAGAGTTTGCGGTCCAGGGACGACAACAGGTTTGGACAACAAGATATTATCCTGAGGGTTCTGTCCCAAGGACAGGGTGCTATTGCTGGTTCGCTTCTCCCACTCCTCCAAGCCTGTAAGCATCTTCTTCAAGCCACGGGCAATGTGATGACTAAGATGGTGCTCACTGGCGCGTTTGCTGCACGAGACCATCATGTCAATGATCCGGCTAACCAGCGCACGAACATACCCGACCTCGATGAGCAAGCCGGCCGATGCGATGGAATTTTGCTGGCCCGTAGTCCCCGTCGCACCACTTGAGCAGCCTTTCGCAGCGATCTTCAACAAAAATACAGCCGCGAAAGTGATCATACTGTGAAGGTAGAGCGGAACCCCCACCAAAGCCCGTTCGATGTCGGGCTCATCAAGGACGACCCGAAGCGTGTCAATAGCTGATCGTATTGCTATACTTGCTCGGTGCTTCCGCTCATTGGACATGGGCCGCGTAGAGCTGGACGAATGATAGGTTCGCAGAGCGACCGAATTGAGCTGCAAGCGAGAGAAGTGGTAGTGTAGATAGACCGCTTTGTAGGGATACTTTCCGACATATCGACTCCCCACTGTGTTTTCCGGATTAGCGCATTGTGTCAACGAGCATCGACAGCAGCGACATACCTAGGCGAGGGATCCAGGACGATTGCCAGTCCGCAAGAGCAGCATCGAACTTATCAATCTCGGAGAATTGGCTATCAGGAACCTCCAAGTCAACGTCAGGACCAAAGGCATGGTAAATGTGGGTGAGGATGATGAACAAATCAACCTGGCTGTGCAGGCGCAAATCCCCTTGTTGCGTGTTCGGAGATTGTATGAAAATATTGTGGTTCTTTATGCTCAAGTCTTCATGTATGATGGGAGGCCGCCCATAGGCGATGGAAAAATGATGTTCTAGGGTCTAAGGAGGTCAGTGATAAGATCCAACTCATGGTCAGTGCCGGGCAGCGAGAGAACTCCACCACATACATATAAGAGATACCACAACCGTGCTTGCTCTATATGTTCCGGAGAGCCTTGTGTGGCTTTTCTATACGATTGATGCAGGTTGTGCTCCGTTGCTATGCGAACGGCATATCCAGATAGCTTCCAGCTCACGTCGGCAAGCCAAAAGGCCCCTATACAGAGGGCGCGTAGATCATCCAACGTATGATGTCGATCTAGCATAGACTCCGATGCTAGTTTCGCGAATTCAGTGTAGCAGATTTCATACACCCGCTCTTTGCTCGGCATGTGAAGAGCTGTCACGGCGAGGATGGCAGCAGAGAGCATTGAGGAAGAATTGCGCACTGAGGTTAGATCCTTGTGATTTAGCAATATACCATCCCATAAGTAGCGACTGAGTACTTGATCGAAATGAGAGAATAGTTCCTCTGCTTCTTGTTTGTCCACGACTCCGCCTGATATGAAATCTGTGACAAGGGCCCGGTCCGATGCATGGTGTCTCCCCGGGGACGTGGTTTGAATATCGCTCAGCTGAGTCACCTCGTACAAGCTTCCCATAGGAGCAGTGACTAGGGATGATGCTCCGTTCTCTTCTCTGTCGAGGGAATACTGCGGCGGTCGGTGAGTGGTAGTGCTAGGTGCACTATTCTCAGTCATTGCGGTGTGCGCAGGCTCAGTGGGTTTTGTTCCCCCGCTATGGTTGCTTGTCGGGAACAGCGCATCTTCTATAGATGCCATAGAGTCGTTGCGATCCCTCGTCTTCGACGACGGTTCAGCTGACTTGCTGATCGCTTGGTAGTAGGATAGTTCGGGGAGTCGAGCTTTGCGAAGCAAGTCCGCCATCGCAAGTTCCATCGCTGCCTTCCATCTTTGCGTGATACACAGAATTGATCAGCGATTTGATGTGATTCAAAGCCGTAGAGGATGCAGGAGGGATCAAATACTCTGTCTCATCGTCTAGCAATGTTTGAAGACTTTTGTTGACCACACATTCTAATCCCATCCGGCGACATCGATGACATGCCGTTTCTCCCTCATTCATGTCACATCGCACCTTGTGCCGCTTGCACTCTGTGCAAGCGCGTATTCGGCGCGAGATTTTGGGAACATGCTTTGGACTCTGCCGTGCATCGTGTTCGGGGGTGCGGTGGGCTGCTATATCCTGAGGGGAGATAGCTGACGGACTATCGCCATTGGCCTCGAAAAGGTGACGACTTCGCTTCATGGCGGCAACGGATTCATCGTCTTCAAAACAATCAATTAAATGAAAAACGCGCAATCAAGTGTCAAGTGAGCATATGGCTGGTTGCGATGCGAATGGATTCACAGCCACTACTGCGATAAGATTCAAGGCGGAGAAGGGAAGAGGGGCTTGCCGCTTGGCATGGCAGCTTTGGATCGGCAATAAGTACGGGGGGTTAGCAGCGTACGGACGAAGTACGATAAGTACGGAGAGAGAGGAGGGGGGGGTTCCTGGAGGTTGTGTGGTTAGCAGGAGTTGTACAGCAGCAGTGGCAGCAGCAGTGGCAGCAGCAGTGGCAGCAGCAATAATAATGGCAGGCAAGTGTCAGTCTAGCACGGGGCACAGCACAAGTCAATCAACCACTGCTCATTAATATTTCATTCCGAGGCCTAGTAACTTACCTCCGTAGGCTAGTCTACTAATAGTCTAGTAGTCTAGGCCATGGAGCCCGGCTTATGTAAGAGAACTCCGGGGACGGGTAATTGCCCGAGTCTCCGCCCGAGTCCCAATTAGGTCTAATTATGACGCACGGCGCGTTCAACCTCTCCCAGACCGCGTTTTTTTGTCGCGGCGGCCCGCAAGAACTGCCCTCCTTCTGCTTCATCCCATTTATTCACCTCCCTGCTCGCCAGGCAAAGCTCGTCGCATAACATATCCATAGTCTCTTCCGAGTATACCCAGATCCGGTTCATTCAACATGGGTATTAAAAGTGAGTCACGCTAATTACCACCTTGCCAATTCCGAATCGACAACTGTACACCCTCATGAGCTCAGCAATGCTAATCTCCGCCACCATTAGACCTCTTTTCGGTAATCTCGGAAGAAGCCCCTGATGCCGTAAAGACGGGAGAGATCAAAAACCACTTCGGCCGCAAGGTCGCTATAGTATGTCCAGTCCCCAATTGAATCCCTGCTTTTGTTAGTTAGCTAGCTGCATCTGTGCTGTAAGCAGGGCTAACCACTATCTTATGTCGCAGGATGCGTATGCTATCCCTAGATCCGGCTCGGCCTTCAATCTCCTTCGTGACTAATGCCAGTTCAGGTCCATGAGTATCTACAGCTTCCTCATCGCTGTCCGCTCCGACGGTCAGCAGCTCATGAATGAGACCGGAGAGACTACATCACACCTGATGGGAATGTTCTATCGCACGCTAAGAATGGTCGATAATGGCATCAAACCTCTATACGTCTTTGATGGCGCTCCGCCAAAGCTCAAATCGGGAGAATTGGCCAAACGTTTTGCCCGGAGAGGCGAGGCGACGGAAGCGCACGAGGAGGCCAAGGAGACGGGTACTGCAGAGGATGTGGAGAAATTCTCTCGTCGCACAGTACGAGTCACCAGGGAACACAATGCAGAGTGCAAGAAGCTTCTGAAGTTGATGGGCATCCCGTACATTGACGCCCCGACAGAGGCCGAGGCACAATGCGCGGTGCTTGCGCGTGCTGGCAAGGTCTATGCTGCCGCTTCGGAAGATATGGACACGCTGTGCTTTGAAACACCCATTCTTCTGCGTCACTTGACATTCAGTGAGCAGAGAAAGGAGCCTATTCAGGAAATTCACCTAAGCCGTGCGCTGGAGGGACTTGGCATGGATCGCAAGCAGGTATATTTCCCACACAAACCTCCATGATCATTCTGCACTTGCTTACCCTTCCACCAGTTCATCGACCTCTGTATCCTACTCGGCTGCGACTACCTGGAACCCATCCCCAAGGTGGGTCCGAACACGGCACTGAAACTGATTCGGGAGCACGGGACTCTTGAGAAGGTGGTTGAGTTCATCCAGAACGACCCCAAGAAGAAATATGTCATTCCCGATGATTGGCCGTATCAGGATGCCAGAGAACTTTTCCTCAATCCCGACGTACGGGATTCCAACCACCCCGACTGCGACTTCAAGTGGGAAGCGCCCGACGTGGAGGCCCTTGTGAAATACCTGGTTGAAGACAAAGGATTCAATGAGGACCGGGTCCGCAGCGGTGCTGCCCGCCTGCAGAAGAATCTCAAAACCGCCCAGCAGTCCCGTCTGGAGGGATTCTTCAAACCAGTAGCCCGAACGGATGCGGAGAAGGCCAATCTGAAGCGCAAGCATGACGAAAAGATTCAGGAACAGAAGAAGCGCAAGAAGGATGAGGCTAAGGCTAAAAAGGAGGCCAAGGCCAGACCCCGTGGCGCTGGCTGATTGATGGACTACCCAGTATGAAATCTAATTCGAGAGCCCCGAGGTTGGGCGGGAAGGAGGAAAAAAGCGAAGGCACTCATTGAGTTCCCATGCGATTTACACAATCAAGGGGAAACCTGATATATTGCGTCTCTGGGAGAGTGCCTTGATTTGAAGCTTGGCGGCGTTTTAAGGCTCTGGTTATCGCAAACATGACAAGGCGTTTATATCGGTGGGGATGCGCTAGCATAGCATTATTACTTATTGATGATGAATTTACCTTGTTCGCTACGGGTGGTCGCATAGTACATATATACACGGTATGGAGTATAATGTAATGACTTCGGATGCTTGGGACAGGTCTCACACCTGCATCGACTAATGGGGTTCAACCCCGCCGTAGGAGGTAAGTAAGCCAGATGGAATAGCAGTACCTACCTTATTGCACCGGGGAGCTGTCAGACTCGGCACAGCCATCGTAAATCGAGCTGGATGCTCGTCCGTGAGGCCAGTCGTGAGCTTGTAACAATCAAGCTGGTTTGCTTTGTTCTCCGCGATGCGCAGGTGGTATGATGACAATTCCCCGACAATGGTGGGGTCACGCGATCCCCGATCTTCTAGGCATGTAATTTGAGAGAGTGATGGGTATGGAATCGACAGGACTATAGCGCTTGATTTGTTTATTGGCTTGGTATAGTCAATGATGAATTGCTCATCTTTGGGCATGTAATTTCCAAGAGGCTCGTTGGTGATGCCCTCACCCATGATGTCCATCAGAGAATATATATCTCATCCGTGCGAGTTATTCGGACTGGTACGGTCATTCGCACAACCCAATGCCTTGCTCTACTGTACATGCAAGAAGTGATGAACAAGAAGACGAAAGAGAAAGAGGAGTCTCCAGAACTTCACTTCGTGCATAAATCATGCGAGAGCAGGGGAAAATCTACTGTTGGCCGAACCGCTTCATGTCTTGATGTACCGTAAGGTAGTCGACACCACAGCCTACACGAAGTGATAATACTTTCCCTTGACATCATGGCAGCGATGATAGAACACAGTGAAATAAGAGTCAATTACACATTTGGTATAACCCTTCAAGTATGAGAGTCTCGCTCCCATCACCGCTCGTAGGGTATGTATAACTAGTTACACATCGTGGCGCTCACCCCATAATCCTCAATCAATTTACAACAAGACACAGCAAATCCCCCCTCACAGTCACACCCCATTCATATACCACATATCTGAAGAGTTCGGTTCATTCAACCGGGGATGAACCAAATAAGCCCCACCGACAGCTCAATTCCAGCACGAGCGCCTAACCACCAACTGTACGGATGAGGAACCACGGATGCAAGACGATCGCTCGTCGGATCCCAAAGACAAAGCCTTGCACCAATAGGTCAATCTCCCAGGACCTCGACTATGACCTACCCTTTTCGAGTTCTTCTCACAATTGATTCGAGGGAAACTGCCCAGGACAAGAAAAAGGAGAAAGGGAAAAAGGAAGAGGGGGGGGGGGGGGGGGTGCTGTGGGAGGAGGAAGAGAAGGTTGGGAGTGCATAACATCATCTCCTCCCCCTCGTGACCTTCCCAAGCCTCCTCCGCACGAGGAAATCAAGTGGAACAATGAACCTTCCACGCGCTCCCTATACACCGTTTCAAAGCCACTGGATCCAGCTCAATGGATGCAAGAGATGCAAGGGGCCGACCAGTAACTGCAGTTGGTCGGACTGTGAGCATCATAGCTGCCATCTAGCTCCATGAGCTTGATTGAACTGCAGAGGAAAGGTTGGGGTGACACCGATGGGCATCATCGGGAGTCGCAGGGAGATCCCCACACGTCACCCACCATCGACTAGAAGATTTTGGAAATACTACGTATACTCACTAGTTGGATAGACCTAGAGGAGATAGAGTGTACGATAGTTTTCCGAATGATGGATGGTAGGTTGGAATGCGACGGAGTGGTGGAAATCAGGTTGTAAGATCGAAAGGTGGGAAAAGCAACACAGCATCGCGGGCGGCTGAGATCAAGAGTTTTTGCTGATAACGGCGAATATATCCCTTCGGGAAAGATTTTAAACCACCTCAGGCGGTAGGAGAGCCGTCGAGGGTGCATATCCGCTAATTTTGAAGGCCAAAGAAGGTAGGTGAAGGGGGAAGATAGAGGGGGCAAAAGAACGCGTCAAGGTTGACAGCAGTCGGATCATGCGCGTGAAAAGAGAGAGAAATCGCAGGTTGAGAGGGAATGCTGATTACTCCAACCCTAGAACGCAGCTCTTGATCTTTTTACTGATCAAACACATCTACTTTACCATAAGCAAAACTACCAAAATATATTAGATGAAGATTTTAAAAAAAAGAAAAGAGAAAAAGAAAATCATCATCAAAATCCATAGAGAGTGAAAAAAAAATCAAATTAGCAAAAAGAGGAGAAATACTTTTGACGTGTTGTGCTCGTCTCGTCTCGTTTCTGAGAGCAGAGCAGAGCAGACAGACAGAGGGTGATCCTGTGTCAACACCCGCTGCCCTATAAAGCGCGGATGCCCCGCGGCCCTTCCACCCCTTCCCTCGTCGATTGCTTTTCTTCTCTTCTGCCACAATTCTCCCCATCTCCCCACCCCCTGCTTGAACCTGACGTTTGTCAAGACATCTCCTGTGTCTATTAAACATCTTTCATCATCTATCTGATTCCTCTTTCATCAACTTCTTCCTTTTCTCCTAACCAAAATGCCTCCCAAGAAAGCTACCTCCACCGGCGCGACCAAGAAGTCCGGCTCGAGCCACGCCTCTTACCGTGGTATGTTTTGACTGATCTTTCTCCACCACCACCTCGCGCTATCTTAATTCTAGCTTCATTTTTGTCGCGAATGACTGCTGATTCGATTAATATAGATATGATCAAGGATGCTATCCTGAATGTGAGTTGATCACGTTGTTCCCGGTGCGCTGTGGGATCACGGGCGCTGGGTGGGAACTTCGCCGACCGTGACACGTCGTCACGGTGCTTAATTGTTCCCAACGCTCCATCAGGCACCGTCTTGTTCCATCCTAGCTGGATCGCTAACATCTATCTAAACAGCTCAAAGAGCGTAACGGTAGCAGGTAAGCTAACTCGTGTTTCCCTGATCACCGCCAGACGCAGGGTCCCGCCCGTCTAGCGACGTGGCAACCCGACACAGCGTCTCTGTCACGATTGAAGCTAACCCGCTCCTCTCCTCTGCCCTGTAGCCGCCAGTCCATCAAGAAATATGTTCTGGCCAACAACAAGATTGCTCCTGCCTCGCAGGCTGCTTTCGACAGCCAGTTCAACAAGGCCATCAAGGCCGGTGTTGAGAAGGGCGAATTCACTCAACCCAAGGGTAAGTCCACCATCTAGGCGCGCGCCTCACTTGCAACCCTCGCCTCGCCAACGGTGAAGCTTGCATCTACGCTTGCTCTGCACGCGTCTTTGTTTATCGCTCCGACACGCCTGCTGACGCGTCTTATCTCCAGGCCCCTCTGGTCCCGTGAAGCTTGCCAAGAAGGAAGCTGCCCCTAAGCCGGCTAAGGTGAGTGACCATCGCATCCTCCCAACTGACCCACATGACTGACTCCATGACAGAAGGCTTCTGCTAAGACTGCTACTAAGAAGACTACCGCCAAGAAGAGCGAGAAGGCCGAGAAGTCTGACAAGACCGAGAAGACTGAGAAGGCCGAGAAGCCCAAGTCTACCACCAAGAAGGCCACTGGCACTACCACCACCAAGAAGTCGGTTGGCAGACCTAAGGCCAACACTGCCAAGCCTCGCAAGGCCTCAACCACTGTAAGTAATGCTGTGTTTGCCCCCCCCCCCCCCCCTTCCCCGCGCTGGGTGCTGTTTTCCCCCCCCCCCCCCTGTTCTCCGCGCTGGATGCTGATTTCCACGCAGGCCCCGGCCGTTGTCGATCAACCTAAGGTCACCAGCACTACCAAGTCTGGACGCGTGACCAAGACAACGGCCAAGCCTGCTGCGAAGAGCAAGAAGTCTACTACTACTGCGAAGAAGGAGAAGGCTGCCCCCGCCGCTGCCGCCGCCTCTGCCTAAGGGAATTTCTTTGCAATCGTTTTGAGCGACCAGTTACCTTTGATCTTTTTGGCCCGTTTCTCTGTTTGCGATGTGTCCTCGGGGTTATATCTTTTGGGTTGTGTCCCCTTCCTTCGTTTGTAATTTTTTCTCTCTCGGCCACCAATCACCTTGAAGGATGGGATGATTGTATCTGGGATATGCTGTGGACTGTTTACTCGGTCGTTTCTTTTCTGTTGGTAGGATCGGCGTCTTGCGGTGGATTTTGCAACGGGATATGTTATTCAATTGCGTGCTATGCTTTGTACGCCAGTCTAAGGACGGGCGTTACGCTTTGGAATGAAACCACTTGTTTAGTTCAACCAGAAACCGTTGTAGTGATTGAAACGGTCGGGCTAGGAATGGGTATGCGATGCCCAAGCCACCATCCAGGGGACATGGACCTAGCCCCGCGATCAAGTCATTCAAGGATACGATCCACCACCAAGCAATGCCAGTGCTTATTGGCATTGGCAAAGAAGACTGTCTACCACGCGGAAGGAATGATCTAAGCTTAAATTTTGTGCATATCCACGGGCCCAGGGGGTTGGATGTTCCATCCAGACACCCAGATCAACTGGTGGAGTCTTCTTGTGCTCTTACTGGGCTCGGCTGAGGAAGTATGGGCACAACAGTCCAATACGCAATTTACCACGAGGTATGGTCCATATCCTAGCGCGTACGGATGGTGTGTTTTGCTAAACTTTGCACCCAAATTCACCAAAAATAGGAATTACTTTTCAAGACTGGGAGGATGTGGGATTATCCGCTTAGTCAGTCAGTTTTTGGGTCAATTAATCTGGTTTTATTTTGAACTTGAAAGTCATAATTAGTACTTAAACTTTTTTTTGCTACATTTGAGACATTTAATGTGTATGTACGGAGTACAGTATATATACCAGTAGGGTTCGAGGGGTCTAGAAATGCAAAAGGAGCTTGAGCCAGCAAACAAAACTTTTCCCGTCCCGCCGGCTAACGGGCTTATCGGCGCCCGATGACTTGCTCGGCTACGGTATGTACAGTACAGTCCGACAGCTAGCTATGAGTAGTAGTTAGAGTTATAAGGTTCTTATTCTTTTGACTGGCAGGCATTCGGGAAGGCAAGTCCCT